CTCTTATTGAAATTTCTTGAGAAATTAGGAATTCGATACTCTTTAGCAAACTTAGTGTTGATCTCCATGGCTTCCGTGTACAAAAAAGCGTAAAAAAGTTTTTGTGATCAGATTTTTGAGATCTTTTTTTTTCTTGAAGCAGTATTATAGGCTTGTTCAAATCAGTAATTTTGTTTTGCTTCCGTGCATGCTTGATTTCTGCTCATTCCTTGGTGAAAAAAAGTAAAGGTTTGATATATTAAATGATTGTTTTGAGGTTTTAATGCTACTGTTGAAATACAATTGTAAATAATGATTTTTGAAAATGTGGACAGTATAAGATTACTCTCTTCTGTTTTATCTGTTACAGTGTAAACTATTTTTTGCCGTCCTGTCATTCTTACAGTTAATGGCCAAAGATTACCGAAGTTTTTAGGAATGGATGAATGTGTAATAACTGTTCAAGTACTATTTACTTTGAGTGTTCTTTTAAAGAAGCTTTCAACAGTTTCTATTTCGAGCTTCAATTAAGCTTAGTTTGAGCCGTTAGGTTACGGGCTTACTGTGTGGAGATATCAGCGTTTTGTTCTTTTGTTTTATAATTTTTAAATTTTATAACGTTTCTAGAAAAAAATTTGTAGACTGCATTGGTTTAGTTGATATAGAGGGGGTCATTAAGTCGTGGGGTAGTTTTTTTATAATTACAAAGTTGCTTTGTTCTGTTTTGAATTCTGGTAACTTTGCAGAGTTGAACTTTGAAAGTTAGGAGGATGAAGCCGAAAAAGAACCAGAAAAGGTCTGGCGGAGCTTTGAAAACTACCCGAAAAATCAACCCATTTGAATTGAAATTTAATAGGTCGAAGCATGATGTGTGATTTACTTTACTTGGTTTTTAACAATTTTCAGTTTACTTTTTAATGAGAAGTTTCAAGGTTCTTGGGAAAACAAGAAATGCAGTCATTGCCGGCAAACCCACTTTATCGAAGAAGCGTGCAATGGAGAATAGGCTTAATACTTTGGGTGCAGAGTTAAGGCAGTTTGGTAAAACAAACAAGGTTTTAAAAAATTTCAGTTCTTAAAGACAGCTTAGTTATCGTTAAGAACCCTTTTTGTAAAAGTGGTTTACAGCAGCGTTTTTAACATATGGGTGTTCAGGTTTTGGATCGCCGTCTGGGAGTCAACGACAGGACTGTTTCTGAGGAAGAAAAAGTCTCAAAGCGTTTTATAGCGGAAAGGTTACGCCGCTACGAAGCAAAAGACGATTTAGGTGATTCGAGTAAGTTTAGGTGATTCAATTTTTTATTGAGTGTTCGCATCAGCTTCTTAGAGCAAATTATTTTAAAAGGAAGCATTGATGGCCTGTAACTTGGGAAGGAGAATGTTCTTAATGTATGGTTATTAGTCTTTACTTCAGAAAATGAAGATGACATTTTAACTCACAAAGGATCCGCACTGACCTCGATTCAAAAGTACGATCGCGCTTTTAGCGATGACGACGATGATGACGAAGATGAAGTCGACGCAAACACCGTTTCACTTGCACACTTTGGAGGGGGCAGTGAACCTACGACTGTTGAAAGTGAGGACAGGAACACAAGACGGTATTTTACTCTCTTTTTGCTTGCTGTTTTACCCTCGCGTTTTTGCTCAGTCTTATTTAGTACACTGTTTTTCAGTGATTTCCTCCTTATTTAATTTAAAGCTATTATTGTTATGATTTTTAGAGCCATTTTCACAGTTTTTATGCATACAATTTTCAGTAAAAACGTGCTAGCAGAATTAATTGCAAAACAAAAGCAACAGCGTTTTGAGAAGAGGATGGCGCGCGATGAACTGGAAAGTGCGACCGACCGCTTAGATGAAAAATGGAGAAAACTTATGCAGAAAGGTGGTATAGGAAATTTAATGGGCACTGGAAAGAAAACAAACGAAAACCAATTACCTGACGACTACGACACACTGGTTACTTTTTAGAATTTTATGGGATGGTTTATGAGCAAGATTTATTGTGTCTTTCCAGTTTTCTGAATTGAAAATGAGCCATGACCGGAGAGCGCAAGCTTCAGAGAAGGAGAAGAAACCAGAGGAAATAGTGCTTGAAAACCAAAAGAAGTTGCAGGATTTTAACAACGAAAGACTCTTGCGGATGGAAACCCTTCCAAAAAAAGTTATATTTTAATTCTCATCCTTAGTTCCAGATCTTTTATCGTAAAATTATTTCCAGGCACGACAAAGCCAAAGTGTTGACGAAATAATTAAGAAAAAAAGTCAGAAATCTGAAGTGTTTGAGGCTGTATACGACGCAGATGGGAAACTCATCAATGCCGATAAGGTAATTATAAATTTTTCTTGGCTTTCGACTTTTTGGATTCATCAGTCTGTCAGACGGATTGCTAAAATCAACCACACTAACTGTAATTCTCTCAGTTACATTTAATTATACCATTCCAGGTGCAGAAGCCTCGTATTAAGATAGTTCGGGTTGAGAACGAGTCGTCTGACGAAACTGTTTCAATGACAGATGAGATGGAGGGTGAAAACGAGGAAGAAACCTTGGATCAAATGGTTAAAGAAGATAATGAGAGTGCCTCAGGTCTTCACTATCTTCTTTAAACACTGCATTCAAGTTATGTATAGTCTGGCATCTTCGTTGTTGGAAGTAATAGATTTGTAGCTCTAAAAGATGCGGGACCGTCGCATCAGTTTGCCTCACTAGTCATGCCAGACGCCTACAACGACCTGAAAAACTTTCTCCGTAACAAGTCCGCCGAGGAGATTGCTCCAGTAATCTCACAATTAGTGGACTGTTACCAACCAAACTTGCGAGAGGGGAATAAGAAGAAACTAGCTCGTTTGATGCTTTATTTGATAAGGTGTTAAAAAGAATCTTCTTGTTAGTCACTAGTTTACTAGTTTTACTAGTTTACCGGGAGTTACTAGTTTTTTAAACTTCTTATACAGGTTTTACGATGACCTTGCCATTGAGGGACCAAACCAAATCGAGAAACTTGCAGCCCTGCACAAGAGCATCTTCCATTTACTAAAGGTATTTTATTTCCAAGACCAATCTTGGTCCATCCCGGCATACTGTCTCTGGCGAATAATGATTAAATGCTCAAACATTCAGGTAAAAAAACTAATGTTTAATTTGAAATCAGTTACAGTTCAATTCGGACTACGGCGCCCGATGTTTGCGAGCCGTTATTAGACAACAGAGGAAGCAGTACGTCCAGTCGCTACACAAAATTTTTGAGTTTCGGATAATTGCACTGGTCACTTTGGTACAGAAATTGTTCCCGGTGTCCGATGTTTTCCACCCTGTTTGCACGCCAACGTTTGCGTTTGTTTTGTACTTAATTGCAACAGTGCGTATGTGCTCCGTCCGAGATGCAGCAAAGATGCTTCTCTTAATAACTGTGATCTCTCAATATGTCGAAGAAAGCAAGCGGTCTCTGATCTCTTTGTTTTGTCTCTAATTTAGATAATATTTGGTTCAGAAATTTTTTTTGACCTAATCGTTACTTTGACAGATTATTTCAAGGTATCTGCCTGAAGTGGTTGCGTATTTGCGTGGGATATTCTTAGTTTCTGTGGAACATAATGAAGACGAAAAGACACCAACAGCCACTTTCCCAATATCCTCACCGCACAGGACGATGCTTCTTGTTAAGAATGACGTAAGTTTCCTTGAAGTTGAAATTTTGAGACCTTCTACTTCCCGTTCAGTGTTTTCTCTTTGAACTTTTTAGTGTTCAAATCTGGATGAACCTCTAGTACTTGAAGTAAAGAAAGTATTTTCTGCAGATGATACAGAGTAAGTACATTATCTTCTTTGCTTCATTTTAATTTCAAGTGGCATTCTTCTACCGGTTAGCAATCTACGGCAAGTATTATTGCCCGGAACATCTCAGTGCCACGCACTAAAGTTCAGGAAGTTTTAAAAAGAATATTAATTTCTGGAGGGTTACTTAATGAAATTCCTTTCATAAAATTTGAAACCATTTACGTTTATTTACACAGAAATAAAATTCAAGGTTCAAGGACAATGACTACAATAAACTTTGTGTTTTACGCGCAGCTCTCGCAGCTACATCAGCGATGGTCTCAACATATTCGACGCACATCTTCACATTTAGTGCAACCTTTGGGTAAGACTCGTAGTTTTAGAAATAATTCCTTTTTCCTTTAGGCTTGGTCTTCGACAAAACATCCAAATTTTCCAGACCATTCTTGAAATTATTCTCCCGGTTACCGAAACAGAATTATCCAAAAGTACTTCGAGAAGAAATTGAGAATTTGGAGTCTGCCATTTTGGCTACCTGTAAAACATGCAGCCCATTACAGCAGCTCCACCGAACAAAGAAAGAAATCAAGTAGTCTTTATGACCCTTCAACAAGACCGCTCTAATGCGAATAATGCTTTTTATGAAGTTTGGTATTTTTCAGAATGCTTGAAATGCTTGAACCCCGATTTGAACCTCATTTCAATGCAGAAAGAAAGCACTCACTAAGAAAGGATAAGGACCCAGCGCTTGAAAGAAGAGTGCTCAAACGGAAAATTAAAAGCGCTACAAGAGACGCAGTAAAAGAGTTAAGGAGAGATAATCAATTTTTGGCGCTGTAAGTAACATATTTAATCGCCCATTAATAACCAAATTTAGTTCCTGCTCCAATTTTTTACCTCTTTCTACTGAATCCTTTATCACCTTTAGAGAAAAACGGAGACAAATCGCAGAGGACGACAGAATTCGTAAACGAAAAACGAGAAAATTGCTCAGAGAATTACAGGGCCAGGAAAGTGAATACAAGAAAAGCCTTTATATGAAAAAGAAAGGATAAAATGGTTTAAACCCCGTAGAACTGCTATCAGTAAAGAAGATATCTTGGCTTTCCTTCAAGTTTACAGGAAGTGTTTTCATACAGAGAAATATGGGCATAAACTACAACATGCTTAACTGTAGAACTTTTTATGATTAAAATGACTTTGGTTTCTGAGTCAGTTGCTTGCATCTCAGAAACTAGTTTGCTGTATTTGTATCTGCAAAAGCACATTGGATGAGGAACAAGGAAAAAAAACACATTTGAAAGTTTCGTTACTGGGATCGTCGAGAAAGGAAGCAAAATCGATTAGGTTTTTTGGAAAATTAGAAAGTCACAAGATCAACTGGACTATCTGCAATCCTGCTCTACATTGCTTTCCTTCTGTACTAGGTAGTATTTTCTTTGTTCGCCTACGCCAAGGTAGTTTTCCGATGCATTTTCCAACAAAATCATCAGGATATACTAATTATTTGGGCAATACTCCTTTACAGAGGGGGATCACAGAGTGAACAATTTCCTTGCATAATATTTGAGTACGATTCTTCAGGGCAACTCAAATAAGTGTATTACGTCAACACTAAGACCGTACAATCGTTAAATTTCTCCACTCGCCTGCAATACATACGTCTAGTTCAGAGCGCCTTCATCCAACAGACGACTGCTAAACTGTGTTCAAG